CATCTCATCCAGGATCCGTCGAGCACGGTTGCAGTAGTCCATCGCCGACTCCTGCTCACCCATCCGAAGGTGAGTCATCTTCTCCTCCAGCTGTCCGATGTACAGGTCGTCCTTCACCTGGTACGTCGACAGGATGAAGTGCCATGCTTGGTGACCAGCATCCAGTCGCTCTCGACAGCTCCTGAGCGCTAGCTGCACCACCGGCGAACAGCTCCTCGAGATGACCATGAAGGTGAGCAGGTGAGCAGCACGAAACTCCCTGCACAGCTCAACATCCTCCTCGGGCGGGATGGGCACAGTGCCGTTGGCGAAGCCCTTTAGCCCAGCGACCTCCAGCTGGGGTTCTATCGACTCCCTCCAGGTGATGAGGTCACGTCGACCTTGCAGCGGGGCGACGGTGATCCGGTCCGGCGAGAACTTGAAGTAGCCATACGCCGGTGCAATTCCGCTCGCCGTCACATGTGTCGTCGCCGAGAGACCTCCACCGCTTCATAGAGGAGAGCGACGTCAACCATCGACGTCGACACGAGAGATGCCTGCAGCCGCCGTCGACTGTTGCACTCGCGCCTGACTCCTGTCGACGCCACCGTCGACCTTGATCACCCCTCTCTGCCTCGTGCCTTCGCTGCCGCTGACTCGAGCACCACCGTCAACCTCGTCGTCGGCGCCACCTTCGTTTCGCACCGGCCAAGGAGATGCAGGACGGGAAGGGTGATCCGTCGCCCACTGCGCGCGGTTGCCCAACTCGACGATTGTGAAGGGGATCTTCCCGTACTCGCCATCCGTGTGGCGCCTCCTTGCATCCGCCAAGCGTGCCTCCAAGGTGTCCGCTACGCCCGCTTCTACAACGGGGTCGACCATGGTGACCAACGCTACCGGCCTACGAACGACTTAGTAGGTGCAAAAGTTGGTCGAATCCTATCTGAAGGTAATTTGCGGGGCCATCCATGCTCACCGCACCATGCAAAGAGTCACTCCACAATGGTAGTGAGATAGACCACGGGGGTTGGCACGAACTACTAGGAGTGATCGTAGCTTTGCTTGCGCTCCTTAGCACTTGCACATTCACGGGAGAAGTTGGCAAGAGTTTCACTAGCAAAGTTGGAATTACAGAATGATTGAACAAGCAATGGCAGAAAATGACTTCATCAGGCACCTAGCAACTCTGCAGCTAGCCTGGTCGACCGCCAGCACTACATGGTTGACCGCCTGCCAACGTTGCGTAGAGGAGCCGCGCCAGCACTACAGAAGAGCGACCTGCCAACACTGCAGGTCGACAGGGTGCCAACGCTGCAGCAAACATTTGTGACAGAACTGACGGTTCCTATGACGACTACACTCGACAACCCGGTCCAAGATCACAAACATTTGTGACCGAACTGCAGGAAATTCGCGAAAAGGCTGCCGACGCAATCCGCAAGGCGAATATCACTTCCCGGAAATACACCGACCTTCTACACCAGGAACTCGTCTTGGCAGCTGGGCAGTCAGTCCTACTCGACGTGAAGAACCTACACCTGCCCGGCCCGTCGAAGTTACGGCAACGATTTTGTGGGCCTTTCAAAATCATCAAGATGGTGACACTCGTCACCGCGAATCTGCTGCTACCCGACGACTGGCGTATCCATGACGCCTTCCACGTCAGCTAACTTCGCAAGTTCGTGCCAGCCACGACCGACATCGCGCGACAAAATGTTGCACCAACAGCACGATTTAACCCGGAGCGGACCCTTGACCCGTCGAAGATTCTGGCACATCGTGTACGACTTGACGCAGCTGGTTGCTAGGTGGATTTCCTCATCCCCTGGACGGGTCGAACCAGTGAAGATGACACGTGGTTGCCATCCGCCTCGTTTGACGCGTCCCCGCTTATTGCTGACTATCTGGCGCGAAGGCGTGTCGCGGGTATTGACCACCTTTCAAGGGGGAGGGGTAGTGTAAGGATTTTTTTTCCTAATTCCTTATCAGGGTTGACTGCTTCGCGTACAGCCCCGATTTTCAGACTTTGCACGTTCGGCCGACATCAGCGCTGCCGAGGCTCCTCGCGCCGCCTTCGGCCTTCCCCTTCGCCAAACCTGCACCCAACCTCGCTCACCCGAGGTTCCTTCCTAGCTAGGCTAGCCCCTATATTAGTGTGCGCCTTCATTTTGTTCTCAGTTCGTGCAATCACAGTCTCGTTATTCGTTTATCTGCGCGCTCTCTTTTTCAACTCATAACAGAAAGTGTAGGCCGAGCCACACTGACGCGAACTGCTCGGGGCTGTCCTCGCTAGGAGCAGCCTCTACAGTAATGAATTGTATATTCATTTGAGAATGACAGAAAACTTTTTACAGATACCAGAAAAAACCCAAGTGTATTGTGGAAGTTGTGTTGTGTAAAGCCGCGTCGTCGCGCCACAACGCAAACCGTTGTGGTTATTCCCACGCTGGAGCACGGGCTGTTTCTCTGCCCACGTATCCAGCCGGTGGTTCGGGCATTACTGAAGGCGCTCCGCATGCTGAATCCGCATCGGAAAATCGAGACGCTTGGGGACTTGGTTTTCAAGAAGGAGGGGACAGCTTCGGGTTTCCCCGAGGCTACGATTACAGCAATTGCGCTTCACCGAATCTGGGTAGAGAGGTGTGACGCGGTTTTCGAACGTAGCAAGTTCTGAGTCAGGAGGGCGCTGAGGAGGATCGCGGCGTCTTTCCAGCTGCATGTCAGAATTTACAAGCGTGCTAAGGCGGCATCTAAGCGGCTCGGTGCCACTCGTCCTGGACTGGATGATGACGAGTGCCGGGTCTTGGGCCACATCCTCGACAACGTGGTCCAAAGGGTTCATGGCCATCTGGTTGAACCCGAGGGCTGCTTTCCGTCCCCCTTAGAGGCTCAGGATGGGTACGGAGGGTGGTATCCCCCTTGGCCCATCAGCTACAGTTACGACTGCCGATGTATTTTACACTTTTTAGTGTATTTTGCATCAAAAATAAAAAAAAGTTGTGGTTATTCCCGTGCCTTTGGCGCTTCGGCTTGCCTCAACAATGGCCCTGTTCGATAGCAGGGTGAACGAGAAGAAGAAAACTTGGAAACGGTGGGGAGAATTGGGCGGGAATCTACGTGGCACTCCTTGCGACGAGTCCGAGTTCCCGCTAGCGCGAACGATCCCACTGCGATGTCTCGGATTTCCCGCCTTCGCGGGAAAACAAGGCGGGAAGTTCAACAATGGTTCCAGACGCCGAAGCGCGCCCTAACAGTGACTCTCGCCCAATGATTACATCCTCGTCACAGCTCCTCTCGGGCAAAACGCCGCTAATTTACCACACCAATGCCATTTCTACTTTTCGGTGAAGGAGCAACGGTTTCTGTCGGTTGGGGTATTGAGGGATATGTTAGGTAAAATAACAGTCTAAACCAGTGGCATGCCCACTCCTTGGGACACAGCTCACTCGTTTTGGAACCGCTCTGTAAAACACTATATATTTTTCAGATTGAATATTTTGATGGCGATACTTTTTCTGACGCTGACCATGGTTCCGCCAGGGCCCGGGTCAGAAAAAAAACACAGAATGTTTCCACACCAATTGGCCGTTGATGTGGTGTTTCCGAACACCTCGGCCGTTAGACCTGCAGAAAGAAGCCGGCAGGCAGTCGGCTTCAATCATTACGCTGCCGGCGGTGCCGAACGAGCACCGTTTGTCTTTATGCTCCCACCGTTGTGCTTGGACAACGGTGGGGGGCTTTTTGCCGAATTGCTATCGAACAGGGCCAATGTGGAGTGCTACGCCACCATGCCTCATCCAAACCTGTTTCCTGCCGAACCTTCTCTCTTGGGGTACCCGATTTGAGGCACTAGTTCGGCAACCGCGTCACCCACCACCGTCCTCGCGGTTGGCGAGGCATGGCGTGAGGAGGCTGGCTTGGGTGGCCCGAGGCGTGCACCAACAATTCATGTTGGGAACAGCGCGCAGGACGTGGATGTGGCAGCGAGTGGAAGCCGGGTGGTGGTCAGGCCTCTCGATTCGTTTTGGGCCACCCTGTGGAATCAGAGTTCGGCGTCAAAACCACAATGCCGCTGCCGCTGCAGCGGCGTACCCTAAAAAGGCGGAATGTTCAAGGATTTCTCGACTGAACTGGAAGAGTGGGAAAAAAAGTCTACACTGTTGTGGTGTGGAGTCTAGGAAGGAATGTTCACTCAGATCATGCAGAAGAATACACAGCGACATTTGACGCATGTCCTAACCTTGACGTGCCGACTATTGAGTTTACAGGTGAAACTGAGTTTCCAGCGACACTTTTGAGTTTCGGATAAAGAATCGCAGACAGTGTTCCGCCAAATCTAACTCGGCCAAGGTGGTGTGTTACGGTATCCTGAAACTGCAACACAAGGATTTTTTTTCTAACGTAGCCGGAGGCTGCGGGGTGGTAATTACAGGACATTCACAGGGTAAAACGTCTTGCAATTCTGAGGCTTGGTGGTGGTTCGGTCTTTCTAGGGGTTCGGCTCCTGGGTGGTGGTCAGTGACAGACGTGCGACGCCACCGAAACCTAAACGGTACAAACGAGCGAGACCGATTGGCAAAGAGAGGCAGCGAGGAAAGGCCAAGACGATTCTGGGGGAAGTGGAGGGTGGGGCAAGGAGCAGGTGGTGACGAGTATTCTTGCGGTTTGGACTAGTACGAAACCATATGACGACTGCTACAACTTATAACAACTATCCCATGCAGAGCTTGCATCCCGCTTTACGAGCCCCTCCACGTTAACGAAGCGGAAATAATGATAAAGAGTACAACTTAGTACTTCTGAAGCTTCTGCCTGTGTTAGGTTTGAACCCTAACTCGACAATCTACCAGTTCCTAGATGGGAGTGTGTGCAGAGCCAAGGTCATTGGAGCGCGACAGTAGAATTCGTCCAGACACAGCAGCTCCGACCCGCTCACCGCCTCGTCACACTTCAGGTCGCCGTATGCGTCCGTGCTCTGCGCCACCTCGCTCAGCCCCACCGCCTTCTGGCCGCGCCTCACCATGCGCGCCTTCAGACTGCCGCGCCTCTGGCTGTTACTAACCGTCTTCGCCGTCGCGTCGATTGGGCTCGTCGCTGTGCGATTGCACCCTTCGAAGCCAAAAGTAGTAGCGGCGGTTCCAGCGAGAGCCGCAAGAGTGCTATTGGATCAGACTCGCGAGAGCGTGTGCGGCGGTCAAATACGAGACCTTAGCCGCAGCAGCGGTGTGATAAGGTCGGAATTAGAGTGGCCGGCGTCGTCATCCGTGCCGTGACGAGCTCTCGACGAGACCGACAGACCACCCCAGTCGTTCCTCGCGTCGCTTACCTCCTCGTCCGCCAAGCAACCGCCTTCCGACCAACCGCTCGCCAATCAATCAGCCGCCACGTGTTATGCAGGTACGTCGCTTCGTCGTCTCTCGCAACGTTTTGGTGGTCAGTCAGTGCGGTTATCCCGTCCTCGGGCCCTTGATTCCGCAGACTTGTCCACCGCCGAAGCCTTGCCAATTGTGGCGCGCTTTTCGTTCCACGCGGCTCTCGTACCGCTTCCTCGGCGCCCTCATTCTCTCCCCTGTATTTCTCTCCGCAACTCCTTTCATTGTTCCACCCGTCTTCCCGTCTCCATCCATCCGTCCTCGCCAGAACGCTCAAGGAGGTGCTTGACGGAGCATTGACGGCTGCCGGCGGCGATCCGTCGGCAGCGGTGGCACTGGCGGCAGCGTTGGAAGAGGAGTACGGCGGGCCCAGCGGGCTGCCCGACCCGGATCGCCCGTTTCCCGAGGCGCCCCAACTGTTGACGGCGCGGGCAGAAGATGACGGCGGCGACGGCAAGTCGGCCGCCGGGAATCATGTGGTGGAGGCGTGGGCGGCGTCGTCGCTGTCGCGCACGGTGATCGTGACGGCGCTGTCGGAGGCGTGGGCGCCCATGATGCGCTTCTTCCTGCACCGCCTCCGCCTCGTCGAACAGCAGGCGTGCGCGGAGGGGGCTGCGGCGCGGGAGGCGGGGCTGAACCAGTTGGTGGATCGGCTGGTGGTGGTGGCGTACGACGACGCGAGCTTCGAGGTGTGCTGCTCGTTGGGGCTGCACTGCTACTTCGACTGGCAGGACGACGCGGAGGAGAAGGAGGACTTCAGTGGCGAACAGAAGCATTTCATGACCCCCGCCTACATCCACTTGGTACGCCGCGATCCGCCCTCCATACATCTCCGCCTAGCCACTACACCGTTCCAGTTCCTTCCCCTCCTCCCCGCTCCTTTCCCTCTTGCGCGCATCTAAACCGCTCAACTCCCTTCCCCTTCCCACCCCCTGGCCCATTCTCCTCCTCCGCGCGCGCAGGTGTGGCGGAAGGTGCACGTGGTGCTGGGGCATGTTGGCGCTGGGGTACGACGTGGTGTTCACGGACAACGACATTCTCTGGCTGCGCAACCCGCTGCCAAGCCTGCTGCTCGCGGCGCCCGAGGACATGCACATGAGCGTCGACTGGTAGCATGCCAACTCGCGCGCCGTCATGGCCAACGGCGGCTTCTACGCGGCGCGCAGCAACACGCGCACGCTCAAGTTCTTCGACGACTGGATCGCCTGGCACAAGCGGTGAGCGCCTCGCCCCCTCTCCTCGTCGCAATGCTGCCCCACCCCGCGCCTGCTCTCCCACACCAGGTCTGCTTCACCCCACTCGCTCCCACTTTCACTCACTCTATTCGCTCCCCATCCCCTTCCCCACCCTGCCCCTTTCGTGCATGCGCCAGGCTACCGAAGCACCGCATCCAGCAGATATTCGACTGGATCCGCCCCGAGGCCAACCCCTTCACGCGTACTGCCACGCCGCTCACCGTGCGCTACCTGCCCACGGTGCACGTTGGCGGGTTCTGCGAGATGGGCGCACTGGCGGAGCTGGTGACGGTGCACGCCACGTGCTGCTTCGGGCTCGACTCCAAGCTGCGCGTGCTGCGCAAGATCGCCGCGGACTGGGACTGGATGCGCGCGCTGCCCCACGGCACGGGCGAGCGGCTGGAGGAGCACGGGTTCACGTGGCAGCGGCGCACGTGCGACAAGGACTGACAGCTGCGCACTCTAATGGTTTTTTTTTTCTTCTTTTTTTTTTTTTTCCAGCCTGCTCAATCGTGGGCTACTGGTCCAGTCTAAAGTGCACAACGCAACGAGCTTTCTGTTTTTACGTAGCGGTTGTCGAGGCAACTCGTGGTCGAGCTATACAAGCAGCGTTCATCCATTCTCCCCACGTCCTTCCATCCTGCTATCCAGCCGCGGATCCACCAGCCGTACTGCAAGCCAGCCACCCCAAGAAGGCGTGTAGCAGCGCAGCAGTGTGCGAGCGGGTGCAGGAGCGGCAGGCAAGCAAGCTAAGGACGCGGCACCTCTAGCACCATTCTGCGCAGGATCGATTTTTTGCGGAGTTTTAAATGGATATCAGTGCGGTGAAACCAGCGATCCTGCGATCAGTCGTGCAAAATTGCAAGAGGTGCTGCGTCCTAACCCTTTGACTGCGGACTGCAGGGCAGCCTCCTCTCGAGGCTGTGTTCAGCCTCCCCTGCTACCCCATGTCCTCTGCTGCCTGTTTCGCACTGGCCCCTGGGTGCACAGGGGTTGGGAGATGCTGTGCTGGCAGCAGCGCGCGGGCAGCTGTACAGGCTGTGTGCTTTGTGCTGGCAGTAGCGCAACAGACAAGGGATGCAGCTTCGGGGGACGCAGGGGTGTGGAGTGTGGAGTGCTGCTCGCTGGAATAGGGCATGGGCAGGCACATGTGCATGGCAGGCAGAGGCACCAGGGGAGGGGGAAGCAAAGGGGGTTGCCGCAGTGTGGCAGTGTGTGCGGATGGAGTGGTGAGAGCAGGATGCCGCAGCATGCTGGTGCAGCAGGGGACAGGTGGGCTGGCAGGGAAGGCAGGCGGCTGTGTGCGGTGCAGCATGTGTGCTAGGGCAAGGCTGGTGCGCAGTAGGGAGGGGGAGTGTAAGGGGAGCAAGGGGCGTGTTCACTGTGTCGACCTCGATCGATGCTGCACAGTGCAATGCATGCCACCATGTTGTTTTGCTGCATAGGAGGGCGCGTTCACTGTGTCGACCTCAATTGGTGCCGCACAGTGCAATGCATGCTGTCGTTTTGCTGCATGCCAAAGGCACTCAGTCTACTCTGGCGGCTGGGTAAGATGCTTCTGAAGTCCCAGGCTGTAGGTATAGAGTTGGTTTTGTTGGAATGGTCTAAGCTACTAGCGGAAGCTATAGTAGTCTTAGAACCTCCTCCTAAGGCTTAGGAATCTTAGGAGCCAACTCAGGCATGAACCATGCTAGAATCAAAGAGGTTTCCAAAAAGTGTGATTCCAACAATAGAGAAGCCTAACCTATAGGGTTTGGGAGGTGGTCCACTCTAAAGAGTGTACACCACAAGTTCTCCCAACCCAACCAATGTATTCTACACTACTATAGTGTAGATCTGCCACTACATATGTTTATTGGAGCAACCCGAATTAACCTTAATTCCAACACCCCCCCTTGCTCCAATAAGCATTAAGTTCACCCATAAATCAAAACACAACCCCTCCAGCAAATGAAGCCTCGGCCTTCGCAGCCATCACTCGCATGCCGATGCGCTCAAGGTTCTCATGCAGCTGCAAGCTTGGGAGAGCTTTGGTGAGCATGTCGGCATCCTGGAGGTGGGAGCGTACTGAGTGCACCTCGACCTCTTGCTGGCGCACCGCATCACGTACAAAGTGCCATGCCACCTTAATGTGCTTGGTGCGCTGATGGAGAACGGGATTGTGGGCAAGGGAGACAGCAGCCTCATTATCACAGAGCAATGGAATAGCCCACCCATCCCCCACATGCATCTCTGCCAACAAACTTCTCAACCAAATGGCCTCCTTGACCCCCTCCGATAGACCTTTATACTCAGCTTCAGAAACGCTTGCTGCAACACTGTCTTGCTTTTTGCTATACCAGCTAATAGCTCCTCCTCCCAACTTAAAGATGTAGGCAGAGCGACTCTTGCCATCAGTCTCACCACCCCAATCCGAGTCGGTGTACCCAACAACCTGCTCACCACCTTGGCGTTCATACCTGATGACACGATCAGCTGTGTCGGCGGATCTCCGCTGACTGACCGAGGGACCACTGAGCTGCTGCAGAGGGGTGGGCTGCTGCTGCACCGACACACTCAGCGATGCCGGTGGCAGTGATGAAGGTGGCATTTCAGCGTCATCAACCGCTGCTGAGGGTGGCGAGAGTGGAAGAGGGATGAGCTGGGAAATCTCAGCTGCATCCTGCAGAAGCTCCCCAAATCCATTTGCCTTGTCCCAATCCTTCCACATCACATTCTCAAGAAAATCAACATCCCGAGCAATGCGAATGCGCATGAGAGAAGGGTCCAGCATGCGCCAACCCTTGCTCTCCATGTCCACCCCAACACAGACACACATGACAGCGCGTGCATCAAGCTTGCCACCCGTCTCATGCCCACGCAGCATGACACTCCCCATGCAACCCCAAATCCGAGCCATGCCCACATGCGGCTTCTGGCCAGACCACGCCTCCATTGGTGTGATGGAGGCAGGCAAAGCACTGTGGGTGACCCTGTTCTTAACCCACACGACCCACATCAATGCTTCACCCCACAAGCGAGCAGGGAGACCACTGTCGACCAACAATGTGCGAATCCCTTCTGCCATCGTCCTGTGCCACCGCTCCACGACCCCATTCTGTTGCGGTGTATCTGCGACACTTAATTAGGTTTTGATGCCAAACTCTGCCTTCCATGCTTTTACAGCTTCCCCCCAAAACTCGCCACCCCTGTCTGAGCGAACAGCCTTCAGCTTCCGCCCACACTCCAACTCCACGTCCTTATGCCACTGGCGAAGGACTTTTGCGACTGTGGCTGATTCCTTGTTGGGGAGTGGGAACGACCAAACTCGTCTGGTGAAGTCGTCAATGAGACTGAGGACATACACCGCTCCTCCCAGTGACGGTGTGCGCACTGGCCCCCACAAATCCATGTGGACCTCATCCAAAGGCCCAAGTGCCCGAGACGCCTCATGGGGAAACGACTTCCGAGCCGACTTTCCCAATAAGCAAGGCTCACATGGGGAGAAATCAGTGCTCCCCCCCCCCAATCTCCAAGCCCAGTACACTGTTCCCCCGAGCCATCTGTTGCAATGTTGTGGGGGCGGTATGACCAAGGCGGCGATGAGCAAGGGTCAATGAGGAAAATGAGGAGGAGGACCTAGCTGCAAGAGCACTACCTTGTGTGCCCCGAGCAAGAGGAAGAGACATCCGCACCAATCCATGGTCCCTTCCCCTCTCCTTTTCTCCAATCGCCAACACCCTCTCCCCCCATTTAAAAACACATTTCTTGCCCTTGAATGTGACAATGACATCTCGAGAGGTGAGGTGTGGGACTGACAGCAGACGCGTGTGCATCTCAGGCACAAGGTGGACCTTTTGAATCCTCAACAACTGACCTCCAGCACCAACCACTGGCACCTCACCCATGCCAACAGCTTTCACCACCCGTCCATCTCCCAATCTAACTCCCCAAACCTCTGGTGGCTGAAGCTTACTTTTGAAGTCTGATGCATAAGGAGTAAAGTTGTGGCTGGCCCCACTGTCAATCCACCACCCCTCTCGCGGCTGCTCCTCTCCCATTGCTGCAATTGCCTCTCCAACCACTGCCTCTGCCTTGTCATCCTGCTCCTCCTCATCCACCACCTGTGCCTTGCGGTTGGACCCACGACCCCCCCGCTTTAAGAATGCCGGAATGCCTCCCTTAGGTCGATGAGGACATCGCTGCCATGCATGTCCCTCATCCCAACAGCCATGACACAACCCCCGAGGAGCCATGCCATTGGACCCCCAGGGGAAATTAAGCACTCCCGCTTTGCCTTTCCCTTGACCCCATCTGCCCGAGTTGGTGTCACTGCTGCTACCGCTGCCTCCATGCTTTCCTCCCTTGTCCCAATTTCCCCTGCCGCTGCTGCCCACTTTCGTACCCGCTCCAAAAGTGGCTACACCATCCGATCTTGGTGCGACACCAATCCGCATCTCCTCGCTCCTCAAGGAGGTAAGCAGCTGACCTTTAGTGAGCGATGATGACTGGTTGTTCAGCACCACCTTCAGCATCTCAAAGTGAGGAGGTAGTCCTTTGAGTACCCTCATCATCCACTCCACAACCCCCTCCTTCCCTCCTGCAGCCAAGTACTTGGACCTCAAGTCCTCGGCACGCGCCCAGTATGCAGCCACTCCCTCCCCCTCATTCATCTTCAATCAGGAGAGCTGCTCAGAGAGTGCCATCCGATTAAACAATCCACGCTGAAGGTAGAACTTCTTCACTCGTGCGTATGCCGCTACTGTGCCTGCAGGAACCCGGGTGACTGCTCTTTCTCCGCCATCAACAGGTGCGCTGCCCAACTCGGTCTTGCCGCCGAACTCCCGTACCAAGTGAATCAGCTCATCTGGCACCAAGGCATTGCAAAATTGGGCGAATGCCTTCTGATTTTTTCTCTCCCACTTCAGCCGTGCATCACCCGTTGCAGGTCGCTCCTCCGAGCCATCAAAGTACCCCCATAGATCGTGCGCCTCTGCCCATTGTTCGAATCGGAAGCTCCAAGTCCAATAGTCGCTCCCGTCAAACTTTGGTGCACTCTCCAGCTTCTCTTTGCCTGAGTCGTGATCCATTTGCGGCGCAGGCACTGAAGATTGACGTTAAGGTGGTGGTGGAGGCAACGGCGGCGGCGGTGAAGACGATGCGGGCAGATTCACCCCCTCTTGGTTTTTGGAGCGTAATTCCGCGCTCGAACCTCCGAATGATGAGCCGTTTAGTTCTGATGAATCATCGCTCCTAGCACGTTCCAATGGTGTATCGCGCTCCGGGATCCCACGTCCGAGCTGTCCGCTTAAACTCGTCAAAGTTGGCCGAGTTTTCGTCGACGAAGACTCAACCGTTTCGCCCGATTTTTGGCTTGTTGGATGCGCCCTGATGTCCTCTCTTGGCGCTTTAAATTTCTATTCCGCGCTTTGCCTGCCTCCAATTTCTTTTCCGCGCTTTAAATCGTTTTC